TACCTTTAACCCAGTAAGGAAATAATTAAGTACATGAGCAAATTTTTCATTATAAATTGTATACTGAAGTAAAAAACTGCCAATAGCCTAAATGTCCAACACTAAGAAATTTCTAAATTACATTATACATAGTTTCTTTATATAATAAATACATTTAAACCATTAAAATGATATTGAAGGTAAATATTTATGACATGCAATGTCATTAATGTTAATACTGTTAACTGAAAATAAGCAAGATATAAAATGGCATAATTCCATTTTGTTAAAAACAAAACCAAAACATTAACCTCTTTCTATATGTATATATGTATAAAGAGAAAAAATAAACAAGCCCTAAAAGGCTTTCCATTAAGGAATTAATACTGCTAATGGTGGTGGAATTATAGGCATCTTATTTTCTTTTTATTTGTGTTTTCTAATTTTTCAACAATGAACGTATTATTCTAGAATAGGAATAAAAACAAAAAATGTGCTAAAGTTAGAAGAAAATCTGAAGAAATGAGCACTTACACGTGTTCTAGGATGATTTTTGTCAGCAGGTTTTTGAGGTTTTGGTGGAAATTTTCTGGAAAGAGAGCCAGAATTGCCTCGGCAGAGGACAGGTCACGGAATGCTGCCAGCCTAGTGAGGCGGTGCAGAGCCTGGAGCAGCTGCAGGACACATGGGGTAGCCATTTAGCTGCAGGACAAGCAGGGCAGGAGACACGAGACAGGGGCCAGGGGCAGGGCTTCCCGCCCACTCCCCCTCAACTGCTACACACTGCCACAGTCATACAACAGAGTCGCATGAGTCCAGAGTCCTCTGCAGCAGTTGTTGCTGCCCCATGTGCCGCAGCCCACCTCTGAGTTCACCTGTTGTTCAGAAGACAGATGCAGCTACCTGACCTAGGAAGCTGTCAGTTTGCTGGAAACTCCCTACTTGTGGGCAGAGGTTTACTATGTCTGTTTTCCTACTGCATGAGATTCTGACCTTCAGCTAACTTTCTAGTGCTGTTTCCCTGGTAACCTGGAAGATGAAAAGTCAGCTGTATTACTAGGCAACACTGCATTGGTCCAAGGCCTCCGGACTGAGAGGACTGCATTAACACCTGGCGGCCCACAGCTCTGAGCTTCCCTGAGTGCTGCATGACGCTCCTTGCAAGAACTTGAAGTCGTGCTTACTGAACTGTGACCAGATATTGGCTCTTGTGAAGTGTGGGCTTTGAATCCAGGGTGGTGGGAGTCTCATGTCCTTGCCTCTAAGCTGTCACCTAGGAGGGCAAAGAGAACAAATAGCTCCTGGCTGGCTGTGTAGACACCTCTTGAGGAAGAAAAGTGCCTGCCTGACCTGCCCTGCTAGAACACTGTATTTCCATCCTGCATCCTTCTAAGTGAATCCATACTCAAGTGTGGCTGCAGTCATCTTGTGAATATAATAATACGTAGCTAAGAAGACTCTCAAGAGGTAACTGTTTCTCTGCTTTTGGGCTTTCTCTGATACCACTGAAAGTTGCCTGACTGTAGACAGGCACAACCCAGATGTGAACAGCAGTTGTTACCCCTCCACCATGACGGGTGTGTGTAAATGGATAAATGCCTCAGCCTCCCTGCCCTCCAGGGGAACAATTCTGAGATGTGTTCTACTTGGTTTCTCACAGGAACCCAAAATGGAGCCCCAGCTGCCCACAGTAGTAACTGCTCATTAACAGACTCTTTTATTAGTTTGTCTCCCTTCCCTGTTTGATTTTTTCCCTCTCTCTCCTTGGTGCTTTCTAGAATCACCTCCCAAAGAACTACCTGCACTCAAGTGCCTGC